TAATCTACACCTAATCTACACCTAATCTACACCTAATCTACACCTAATCTACACCTAATCTACACCTAATCTACACCTAATCTACACCTAATCTACACCTAATCTACACCTAATCTACACCTAATCTTCACCTAATCTACACCTAATCTACACCTAATCTACACCTAATCTACACCTAATCTACACCTAATCTACACCTAATCTACACCTAATCTACACCTAATCTACACCTAATCTACACCTAATCTACATAATTATTATTAATACTTTCATCGTCAAAGGGTTAAACGCCACATGTTTGCGGTAAAAGGGTTAATCTTATAGTCCATTTAGTCGTTTCGTATCCTAGGGATGCGTTAAAATGGTTAAATTGGAAATGAATAAATCCTATCAAAATAATTCTGAATCTGCTACATATTTTTCAATTATAAACCTTAACTCCATTAGAATAAAGTCTTATCTTGTTTATAAGCGATTTACTTTATTATTTTAATCATCTATCAATATTCATCCTTATGTGTATAGGAATAAAGTACATTGTTGTGATGTAGGTGTGATGGTTGCAGAGGGCGGTGTGTCATGGTGCGCCTCCCCCGCAGCAGCCCCCGGCCTGCCCGCACAAGCTGCTCCAGGCAGACCTGTACACGACCGGCTAGAACAACTCCTCACTTTGTTGAGGATCGATGCTTCTATACATTGCGTAAGTCGTCATCATCAGCTCATACATCTCGACTCAGGGTCTCACAGTCTACCCTAAGTTAGTAACCAGGTCATAGTCAACACAGTCAACAAAGTTAAAGAAGTAGACAATGACATTTGGTGCGGTCCTGACACATTTAATTCATCATCAGCTCATTATAAGTCAACTGAGGAACTCAGAGCTTAAGTTAGTACCTAGGTTATAGTCAACACTAACCCAGTTCCTTAACCTAAGTGCAAGACTTCACAGACATTCCTTCATCGTAAGAATATTGGATACACGGTATTCGAACCTGTGTTACAAGTCAATACAGGATTTAAATCATAACTAGATCAGACCATAGGTAAACTACAATTTACGCTAAAATAAAAAAAATTAAAAATATTTATGTTTTAAATCTATATAACACTAGCTGTTGCCAGCGACTCCGTCCGCGTGTTTGTCTACAAAATAAAAAAAATAAAAATTAGGGGTGGACTACCCTTAGGGGGATGAAAAATAGATGTTGGCCGATTCTCAGACCTACTCAATATGCTCACAAAATTTTAATGAGAATCTGTTAAGCCGTTTCGAAGGAGTATGAGAACGAAAATTGTGACACGAGAATTTTATAAATATTATAAGATTAGGTTCGTATATTTTACAACATAACTTTTTAATTTCAGTCTTTTTTCCCTTTTCACCCTTATCCGAAAGGGAAAGTGGATTTGATGGAGAAGGGGACTTATTGGAAAGAGAAATGACTTTATGTGCATCCCCTTCTCCATAGTATAGTAGACAAAGCTTCTTAATAAGTCAAATTACTGATATTTATTTATGTAAGACAAAAATCAATTAGTGTTTGTTAGTCTCACTTAAACTCGAGAACGGCTGAACAGATTTATCTTATCTTGGCCTTGAAATGTTATTAGAGGTCTAGAGAAGGTTTAAAACGTGAGATCAATTCTAAGAATTGCCGGGAAAACCCTTTAGGATCCTTTCTTTCATACCACGCGGACGGAGTCGCGGGCGACAACCAGTAGTAGATATTTTGGTAGCTTTCCTAATGATTTTTTATTTCCAGGCATCCGACTGGCCAGCACTGGAAGAGTCAGGTCGCTGGCAGGACAGTAGTGATGAGAACAGTGTACTCAACAGGATACCTATGAACTACTTGAATAAGTAAGTTACATATCAAACCAGTTAGTGCCTATTTCCACTAAACGGATATCCGCGCGACTTATTCTGTATGAATGAATTCAAAAATGCCTAATTACTAGTCTTTGTGTTCTTCTAGGCTATATTCTAAGTCTGTGCTAAATTTCAGCTAGATCTGTTTAGCCGTTCTGGAGATACCTTCTAACAAACATCCATCCATCCATACTATTCATCCATAATATTTTAAATGCGAATGGATGGATGGATGTTTGTTACAAAGTATCTCCAGAACGGCTGCATATATCTCGCTGAAAGGCATAGATGCAGAACTTAGTCTGGAAGAACATACAGGCTACTAATTAAATTTTTTTTTAATTTCGTGCAGACGGACTCGCGTTCGATAGTTAGTCTTTCCTCCAAGGATTTAAGTGTCAGAAGCTAACTATAAGTGTATGTGATACAGGGTGAACAGAGTAATGGCATCTCGTTGTGCGGAAGGTACAGCGGTGACGTTCATCCAGCTGCCAGCTCCCCCCACACTGCCGCCACACTCCACCAGCGCTGATGAACCTCTCTGCCAACAATATCTCAAGGTAACATAGCTCTTATATAACTGGATGTTACTTGAAACTTATCAGAACTGTTCGTAAGAGACGCGACAAAGTTGTTTCCTTTAATTTTTTTAAATCGCCATTTTAACTAGTCAGGCAACTTTTGTTGATGTCCATACGTCCATTTTCCAGGTATTGGATGAGCTGACGAAGGATCTCTCTCCCACAATACTTGTAAGAGGACTCAAATCTGTCACATCGACTACTTTGTAAATATTTATATAGTATTTAAATAAATTGTCAATTAGTGTACGTTTCCACTGTTGCTATACTTGTATGAAAACATATAGACTTTCTTATTCTTTGAATTAGAGATCATCAGCTCATACGTCCTCACTGAGGGGCTCGGAGTCTACCCTAAGTTGATTAGGTAGAGACCACAGACCTATATCTAGAGTGGTGCTGCACACAAATTTAATTCATCATCAGCTCATTATACCCACCCTTAGGGTCTCACAGCCTACCCTAAGTTGACTAAGTCATAGTCAACTAGCACAGTGCAGTACTTTGAATTTCTCAGATATGTGCATCACGATTTCCTTCACCGTAACCTCGGATATATACATATGTAAATTGAAAAACACATTGGTACATGACAGGATTCGAACCCAGGACCTGCAGATTACAAGCTTAACCCCTGAACCACTGACGCTCTGAAACTATCCCCTAGGGTAACCTATCACTTAGGGTAGGCTTCGAGCTCCTCAGTATAGATGTATGAAGCTGATGAGAAAAAGATTTTATGGAAATTTTTTAGTTTTTTTTTTATTGGAATTATTTTCTTGACATTATATGTATAGAATAAGTATAAAATAAAATTAATTGATTTCTTTATTAATTTAATCAATATTATAAAGAATTTAATTGTGTTATTAATCTTTAAAAATAGAGGGCGCTGTTATATGATATAGCTAGAGTTAAATTTTAAAGTTAAAATTACTTACATTAAAATAAATCTGTGTATTATTTAATTAATTTCGTTGAAAATATATGTATTTGACAAAATATTAATAACTTTAGACTTGATTTGCTTTTACAATGACAATTTAATTTTTTTTTTCTTTATTGCTAAAGTTGACAATTAAGTGGTCATTCAACACGTCCTTAGTATAAGATTTAGTAATTAAACTACACTAAAACACCACTAAATTGACTAGTTAATGACTAAGTGGGTGATTATTTAAATATATTGGATTCTAGTTAAGGAAATTGTGATAAATATTTTCGTCAGAATGTAATAAAAAAAATATTTTTGTAATTTTCATTAGACTTATTAATTTAAATGTTTTACTATTGAGAACCTAATTTAAATTCATCATAATCAGCTCACTATACGTCCCCACTGAGGGGCTCGGAGCCTACCCTAAGTTAAGGGTGATTAGGTCATAGTCAACCACGCTGACCAAGTGCGGATTGACTTCACACATATCTTTGAATTTCTTCTCAGATATGTGCAGCATCACGATGTTTTCCTTCACCGTAAGAATGTCGGATAAATGTACATATGTAAATCAGAAATAGAAAAACACATTGGTACATGGCGGGATTCGAACACAGGACCTGCAGATTGCAAGTCAAGTGCTTAACCACTGAGTCACCGACGCTCCTAGTTTAAATTATTTTAAAGTAATTTTGCAATTTGATTTAAATAATTTGACATTGAAATTCACGCCATCTAGTTAATAATTTGAACAACATAATTAAATATTTTCATTTTACTTTTAAATTTATTTCATTTACCCATTAATATGATTATTTTAATAGTATTTAGCTTTAAAAACAAAAGTATTCTATTATAAGTTTTAAACGTTTGACGTTCATTTAATCGTGGGTTTCTGAGACTACAATGATATATGTCAAAGATTTTCAACAAACATTTAGGACTCAGAAACCAACCAGTATATGTAAAAAGATAACCTTAAAACATCTTTTAATTGTTGATAATTGCCTTTAATAACTGGACTAGCTGTCGCCCGCGGCTATGTCCGTGCTAAATAAAAAAAAACATAAGTAGCCTATGTATTCTTCCAGACAGAGTCGCGGGCGACTTGTAACTTTATATAGCTCAATTTTTTTTGCGATAAACAGACAGACAATATCTGCTCCGGTGGAACTAAATCTAATTAAATTATGACAGCTCACTAGCGCCCTCATGACTGTCAGAAGTGTCACAATTCTCGTCCTATAGTCTTATGTGTTTTTTCTTATATATAGTTTGTCTATTTAAGATAGATTAGTTTCTTTACCGGGTCAGATAACTTTTTTGTACTATACATAATTAACTAAAGATTAAAAACCAAATAATATTGTTTATCAGTATTCTAGAAATGTTACCGGTGTTTTTAATAAGTTTTCATTGAAATAAATACAGAAATTTTTAAACCGCTACGACTTAAATCCTTCAAGAAGCGAGCGTATCACCATCTCAAAGGCAACGCATCTGTTCTTCTGGTATTGCTGATGTTCATGGACGTCATTTAACACCTCGGTGTTCTCGTTGCTCGTTTGCCCCCTTCTGTTATAAAAAACATGTTTCTAATTTTTGATTGAGCTTAAAGTAAACTTAAGTCATTTTGTAAACATTTTTACATTAGTATGAAATGGTGATTATAAAGGTGTGTTTCCACTGATTTTACATTTTGAATATTAAAATATCAGCTATAAATTTCTATAAATACTATAAATTCAGTTTATCTTGCCTTTTTTCTCCCGAATTATTTTCTATATGTTACGATTTTATTACTTTAGTATTACTATGATTTAAAATCGATTTGAAATCTATCCTATTAATGTTACTTTCACAATATTTAAATTAGTTTTGCTGTTTTTTTATACAAATGTAACCACAGTTTAGTGGAAACGCACCTTAATACTCGTATTTAGGGATCAATTTAACTGTATTTTAGATATTTTGTGATAATATCAAATAAACGATTAATATTTTTGATTTTTAATGTTTTATTGTGTCTTTAAAATCTATCTTAAAGAGAAAACGAGAGAAATGACTATTATTTATCATCATCAGCTCACTATACGTCCCCACCGAGGGGCTCGGAGCCTACCTTAAGTTAAGGGTGATTAGGCCATAGTCAATGCTGCCCCATTGCGGGTTGACTTCACACATATCTTTGAATTTCTTCTCAGATATGTGCAGCATCACGATGTTTTTCTTCACAGTAACGTCGGATAAATGTACATATGTAAATCGGAAATAGAAAAACACATTGGTACATGGCGGGATTCGAACTCAGGACCTGCAGATTGCAAGTCAAGTGCTTGACCTCTGAGCCACCGACGCTCAATTATCTTACTAATATTAGAAATGCGAATGTTTGGATGGATGGATGTATGTTACTATATATCTTCAGAACGACTGAACAGATCTTGCTGAAATTTGTCATAGATGTTGAACATAGTCTGAAAGAACACATAGGTTTAGTAGCCTAATTTTTTTTTAATTTCGCGTGGACGGAGTCGCGAGGGACAACTAGTCTTTAATATCCAAGTCGGCGATAAGTTTTTAATTAATAGAAGAAAAGCATATTCTTCCAGATATACAGTCGGGATTTCGAAAAGGGTTCAGTACAGCGACAGCCCTCTCCCATGTTACTGACGACCTTTTGTCCGCTAGTGACGAAGGAAAGGGTAGTATCCTCATTTTACTTGACTTTTCCAGAGCTTTCGATTGTATAAATAGAAAACTGTTAATTGCAAAATTGTCTTACTATGGATTTTCCGTAGATGCTTGCCTATGGTTTTCTTCCTTTCTGTCAAATAGAAAACAATTTGTAGAGTGTGTAAATGAAGAGGGAATGCCGGTGACATCAAATAGTCAAAACGTGCAACAAGGAACACCTCAAGGGTGTATCTTGAGTCCTATATTATTTGCAATCTATACGGCAGACCTACAAAAACAAATGAAATATTGTAAAATCCATTTCTATGCTGACGATACACAACTATATTACTCTGTTAATCCCAAGGACACTGACATCGCATTAACATACATAAACGAAGACTTAAAGACGATGGAAGAATGGTCGAAGAAAAACAATTTAATTTTAAATCCAACAAAGTGCAAGTATATGATTATAGGTACCAGAAGACAACGGGACAGAATTGAAAGTCATAAACCGGTTATAAAAATTAGTAATAAAGTTCTAAATAAAGTAAATAAAACAAGAAATTTAGGTTTGCAAATGGATAACGAACTACGCTTCGTGGACCACGTCAATACGTCCATAAAGAACGCTTTCTATCGGCTAAAAGTCCTCTATGGTGTGAGGTGCTACCTCACGGAGAACGTCAGGCTAAGGCTGGTGGATTCATTGATATTGTCTGGATTCAATTATTGCGACGTAGTTTACGGTCCCAGGTTATTACAAAAGACCCAGCGGGCTATACAGCGCTTGCAAAATGCTTGTATGCGTTTTT